GGGTGGCAACCACTTGATGTGTCCCTTTCACATCGATGTTTCTCTCTCTCTCTCTCTTTCCCTCCCACTCTGTCTGAACAAAATATCAAAAAATATCCTCAGGTGAAGATTAAAAAATAATAATAATAATAAAATAGAAAAAGGAGCAAACTCAAACCAAAGCTAGCAGAAGGAGGGAAACAGTAAATATTATAGCATTAAAAAAATGAAGTAGAGAATAAGAAACTATAAAATCAACAAAACCAAAAGTTGGTTCTTTAAAAAGATCAACAAAATTGATCATCTTTAGACTGACCAAGAAAAAGAGACTCACATTACTAAAATCAGAAATGAAAGTGGGACCATTGCTTCCAACTTTGCAGAAATAAGAGATTATAAGAGAATACTATGTACAGCTGTATGCCAACACATTAGATAACCTAGATGAAATATATTCCTAAAAAGACAAACTGGTCCTGGCTGGTTTGGCTCAGCGGTTAGAGTGTTGGCCTGTAGTCCCGAGAGACCCAGGTTCAGTTCCCGCTAAGGGCATGTGCCTTGGTTGCAGTTTGTCCCCGGCCCCGGTTGGGGTTGTGTGGGTGGCAACCACTGGATGTGTCTTTCTCACATTGATGTTCTTCTCTCTCTCTCTTCCTCTTTCTCCCTCCCACTCTATCTGAACAAAAAAATGGAAAAATGTCCTCGGGTGAGGATAAAAAAAAACAGACAAACTGACGCAAGAAAAAATAGAATATCTATACAACTAGAGAGATTTAGTGAGTAATCAAAAAACTTCCTACAAAGAAAAGTCCAGGACTAGATGACTTCACTGATGAATTTTTATCATATGTTTAAAGAAGAATGAACAATTATTCACAAACTCATCAAAAAACAGAAGAGGAAGGAATAATTCCCAATTCATTTTATGAGACTAGCATTACCTTGATACCAAAACCAGACAAAGACATCACAAGAAAGCTACAGGCCAACATCCCTGAATAATGATGCAAAAATCCTCAACAAAATACTAGCAAGCCAAATCAAGCAGCATATAAAAAGGATTATACATGATGACCAACTGGGATTTCTCCCATGATTTTAAGGTTGGCTCAGCATACAAGTATCAATCAGTATAAGAAATCATCCTAATAGAATTAAAGGACAAAATCCACATAATCATCTTAATAGATGCAGAAAAGGCATTTCACAAAATTCAACACCCTTTGTGATAAAAACACTTAACACACTAGGAATATAAAGAAGCTTCTGTAACTTGGTAAAGGGCATCTATGAAAAACCTATAGAGAAACACATAGCTAACATCATACTTAATGGTCAAAGACTGAAAGTGTTCCCTCTAAAATCAAGAATGGAACAAGAATTTTGCTTTCACCACTTTTATTCAACATTGTACTAGAGGTTCTAGTTGGGCTAATTAGGAAATACAATTAAATAAAAGGAATCCGGCTTAGAAAAGAATGAGTAAAAGGCCCGGTCTGTGTGGCTCAGTGGTTGAGCGTCAACCCATGCACCAAGAGGTCACTGGTTCAATTCCTGGTCAGGGTACATGCCCATGTTGTGGGCCAAATCCCCAGTGGGAGGCATGCAGGAGGCCACCAGTCAATGTCCTCTCTCATCAATGTTTCTATCTCTCCCTCTCCCTTAAAAATCAATAAAGAAAAAAAAATTTTTTTTTTAAAGAAAGAATAAAAGTACCTCTGTTGACAGGTGACACAATCTTATAGTGAAAATGCTAAAGAACTCACAAAAAAGCCCTGGCTGGTGTGATTGGCATTGACCCATGCACTGAGAGGTCACTGGTTAGATTCCCAGTCAAGGCCCATGCCCGAGTTACTTGAACCCCAATAGGGGTGTGCAGGAGGCAGCTGAATGTTGTTTCTCTCTCATCGATGTCTCTATCTCTATCTCCCTCTCCCTTCCTCTCTCTCTAAAATCAATAATAAAAACATTAAAAAATTTATAGGAACCCACACAAAAAACCTATTAGAGCTAATAAATGAATACAGTAAGGTTATAGAATTGCCATGCAAAAATCAGTTGTATTTCTATATGCTAATAATGAGCAATCTGAAAGTGAAATTAAGAAAACCATTTACAAGAGCATAAAAGAAAGGAGATGAATTTAACCTAAGTAATACAAGACTTATACACTGAAGACTACAAAATATTCTTGAAGGAAGTTAAAGAAGACCTAAATAAATGGAATGGTATTCATAGTTTGGAAGACTTAATATTAAGATAGCAGCACTTCTCAAATTGATCTACAGATTCAGTGCAATCCCTATCAAAATTCCAAGTGCCATTTTTGTCAAAATGGACACACTGATTCTGAAATTCATATGAAAACGCGAGGGACCCAGAATAGCCAAAACAATCTTGAAAAAGAACAAAGTTGGAGGACTCACACTTCTCAGTTTCAAAATTTACTACAAAGCTATAATGATGAAGAAATCATGATACGTATTGGCTTAAGGATAGACATTCAGAGATCAGTGGTCCAGAAATAAGCACATACATCCATGGTCAATTGGTTTTCAAAAAGGTTGCCAAGACACTCATTTGGGAAAAGAATTGTTCCTTCTGCATGGTGCCAGCATAACTGGGTATCTACATGCAAAAGAATAAATTTGGACCCCTACTTTACACCGTATACAAGAAAGACCTAAATGTCAGAGCTAAAAATATAAAACTTTTACAAGGAAACATAGTTGTAATCTGTGTAATCTTGGATTAGGCAACAGTTCTTAGATATGACACCAAAAGCACAAGGAAAAGAGATAGGTTGGACACCATCAACATTAAAAACGTTGTGCATCAGGAAACACAAAAAATAAAAGGAAAAGACAGCCCACAGAATGGGAGAAAATATTTGCAAATCATATATATCTGATAAGAACCTAGAATCCACAATATGTAAAGAACTCTTAAAACTCAACAATTGCTCTGGCCAGTTTTGCTCAGTAGTTAGAGCATCAGCCTGTGGACTGAAGAGTTGTGGGTTTGCTTTCCCAGTCAAGGAAACATACTTCAGTTGTGGGTTTGATCCCCGGCCCTGGTCCATGTCATGTGGGAGGCAACCAATCAATGTGTCTCTCTCACATCAATGTTTCTCTCTCTCTCTCTCCCTCCCTCCCACTCTGTCTGAAAAAAATCAATGAAAAAATATCCTAGGGTGAAGATTAAAACAAAAACAAACAAACAAACAAAAATTCAACAATAAGACAAAAGACCCTGTTAAAAAATGGGCAAAGGATTTGAATAAACATTTCTCCAAGGAATATATACAAATGGCTAGTAAGAACCTGAAAAGATGCTCAACATTATTAGTCATTAGGGAACTGCAAAATAAAACCACAGTGAGACACCACACACACTAGGATGGTTATAACAGAAAACAAGTGTTGTTTAGGAAGTAGAGACAATGGAACCCTTATACATTGCTGGTTGGAATGTAAAATAGCACAGCTTTTATGGGATATAGTTCGGCAGTCCTCAAAACTTTAAACATAAACATATAGTTACTATATGACCCAGCAATTCCATTCTTAGGTATATACCCAAGAGAACTGAAAACATTTGTTCACACAAAACCTTAAACACTAATGTTCATAGCAGCATTGTTCATAATAGCCTAAAAGCAGAAACAGCCCAAATGTTCACCAACTAATGGATGTCTGAACAAAAGTGATAGATCCATACAATGGAATATTAGTCATAGAAAGGAATAACGTTGATACATGCTACAACATGGATGAACCTTGAAAACATACTAAATGAAAGAAGGTAGACACAAAAGGTCATATATTGTCTGTTTCCATTTTTATGCAATGTCCAGAATAGGGAAGTACATAGAGAAAGTAGATTAGAGGTTCTAGGCATTGCATAGGTGGAAGGAAGAATAAGAACAACTGCTAGAGTGAATGGTTTCTTTCTGGGCGATGAATGTGTCCTGGAATTAGATAGGGTGATGATTATACAACCTTGTGAATATGTTTTTTGTTTTTGTTTTTTTAAACCACTGAATTGTACACTTTATAAATTACATATTAGTTTTAAAATGTAAAAAATGAAAACCCCATGATTGGAGGAAAGGTCAGATTTAAGTAATAGATTTGGGAGTCATTTATAGAGGAAATTATTTAAGGAATGGGAGTGGATACTCTGAAGGAGTACGGGCCAATAGAATTTTTCTGCAGTGATGCAAATGCTCTACATTTGTGCTGTCTTACTGAGTTTTTAAAAATACTAAATATGCATGTAAAACAGAGAAGCTATATACCAGACTATCACAGTGCTTCCCCTAGAGAGCTAAGAAACAGCTGGCTTTGGAGTACAGGCTTAGAGAAACTATTTAATGTCTCAACACCCATGCTTCTTTACCTTTAAAACAGTAGTAACTGATTTTGTTCTATTTTCAAAAGTTAATTAGGTACCTGCAAGACCACCTGTGGCACCTCTCGCTGGGGAGGCATTCCCAGTGTGTCCTCTGTGACAGCGCCCCCAGGAGCAGAGACAGGCGTGCAGGGGGAGCTCTCCAGAGTCCTGCAGCACGATGGCACCTATTGTAGGAAAGTGTATCCCAGAGCCTCATCAAATGTAAATTCCTTTCTCTTCCCCAAGAGAAAGACTCTCAAATCCCTCAGCTTCAAAGTTCAGCTATTTTGAAAATGACCTTAGAACAATGCAGGATTAAAGCTGTCTTTGTTGTTATTAAACACCAAGACAGAATAGCCACAGCATCACCATGTGGCTTTGGAACGTGAACCTGGGCCTGCACAAAGGACATCCTTCACCACCCCTCCCCAACCCCAGCATAGTTTTTCCACCCTCAAGTAATCACACAGCAGGAAAGAGACTTGTGTCAAAATGGCTTTGGGCTCCCTGTCTGGTTTGTGTTGGCCTTACTTTTTCTAGTTTCTAGGGCTAGGCCAGGAGCAAAGCCAATAGACTCTTAGGTCAGGCCTAAAGTAAAGATAACGAAGTCATGTTTTTATTGTCAGTGGAGTGGTTCATCAAAGAGCTGACTGGGATAGCATCCATGAGAAGATCTGCCAGCTCCTGATCCCACTGCGCACGTCCATGCCCTTCTACAACTCAGAGGAAGAGCGGCAGCACGGCCTGCAGCAGCTGCAGCAGCGGCAGGTGGGCCCTAGGGGACAGTTACAGGGTCAGCTCATGGCTGCAGCGAAACTGCTGGGGGGAAGGGGTGTGCGGGGTCGCGGTCACTAACCTGTAACCTCTGTGAGGGCAGAGATTTGGTCTTGTGTCATTATGTTTTTAATGCCATTCAGTCCATCGTTCTCCACATAGTTACTGAGTATCTGCTGTCTTAGTCTCCTGAGGCTGCCTAGCAAAACACCACCGACTGGGTGACTTAAACAACAGAAATTTATTTTCTCACAGTTCTGGAAGCTAGAAGTCAAGATGAACGATAGGTGTCGGCAGGGTTGGGTTCTTCTGCGGCCTCTGTCCTTGCCATGTGGGTGGCTGCCTTGGTGTGTGCCCTCATGGCCTTTCCTCTGGGCACACATAGCCTTGCTCTGGCTTTTGTGTCCACATTTCTTCTTACAAGGACACCAGTCGGATTGGATTAGGGCCCATCCAAAGGCCTCATTTTAACTTAACCCCCTATTTAAAGGCCGTATCTCCAAGTGCAGCCACTTTCTGAGGTACTGGGGATTAGGGCTTCAACATGTGAATTTTGGGGGACATAATTCAGCCATAATACCCATCTATGTCAAGTACTGTGATGAGAGCCAAGGCACACAGTGGGAAGTCAACAATGATGTGTGGATATGTAGAGGAGTGAATACATAAAGGAGATTAGGAAAACTATGATGGCATTGATAGCCTCTCATTTTTTATTTAAATCTCAAAACACTGGATTTCTCGATTTCAGTGTCACGTTGAGAGTGGCCTTAGAACAATGCGGAGTTAGAGTTGTTTCTGATATTAGATAAGCAGGATAACTCCAGAGGGAAAAGTCTCTTAAAATTAATTCAAATAGAAAGGCAGAAAGTTTTAGGTGGTCCTAAGGTATGACAGCTTTGTTAAAATAAAATTTTATTATAAATAGAAGAATAATATCCATTTAATAATTTTCTGTTGAGCACGCATCTATACCAAGTAGTGAACTAAGATGAAAATACACTTGTTCCTGGACCTGAAGGAACTCACTGTCCAGAGTTTGCCTTTTCGTATCACCTATTTTGGGTCTTGTGACCACCTTAATACAGGCAGGCTCACTATGTGCCAGTTCACTAGGTGTTGGCCTTGTCTCCAGTGTACCTATATCCGTCATTGTCTTTTACCTTTAGACTGTCTCAGATGGTCTAGTTTTTTCTTCCACAGAAGCATTTGATTGAATTCTGCTACACCGTAGCCCAGAAATATCTCTTTGAAGGAAAACATGAAGTTGCCGTCCCAGCAGCTTTGCATTCTCTTCGCTTCCGTATGAATGTGTACGGCCTGAGTTCAGTGGAGCTTGTGCCTGCCTACCTGCTGCTGGCCGAGGCCAGCCTTGGTAAGTGCCCCCCGGAGTCCTTAAGAAGTGCCATGCGGGTCGTAGCAGTGGCCAGAGTCCAGCCGCGGCAGTGGCACCAAGGCACCTTTTGAGGAAGAGCAGGGTTGCTGAGAATCCGGCGCAGGGTGGGGAAGGAGATGGCATGGACCTCTGGCCACAGCGGACAGGAACCCACTCGAGCTGGCCTAAGCAGGAGGACGTTTATTAGGACGGGGGCGTGTCCTCAGGGAACTGAAGCTTCACAGGTACTGGAATCAGAAAGTGGTAACGAACTAAGGCTGGTGCTCTCAGCTTCTCCTACTGAGGAGGCCAATCAGTGTTTCTCTCTCTCTCTCTCTTCTCCCTTCCTCTCTCTCTAAAATCAATACAGAAAAGGAATTTTCTAAAAAAGAGGAGAATTAACATTTTTGAGGTGAATTAACATTTTTGAGTAATTACAGTATTTTAGGTACCATGCTACCAATTTCTACTCGTAGCCACATTTATGTTTGTTTGTTTTTTAATCCTCACCTGAGGACATTTTTCGATATTTTGTTCAGATAGAGAGGGAGGGAGAGAGAGAGAAACATTGATGTGAAAGGGACACATTGAGTGGGTGCCACCCACACGACCCAACCAGGGCCCGGGACAAACTGCAACTGAGGTACATGCCCTTAGTAGGAATCGAACCCGGGTCTCTCTGCACCATAGGCCAACGCTGTAACCGCTGAGCCAAACCGGCCAGGGCTCGTAGCCACATTTAAAAACAACAACAAGCCCTGGACGGTTACTCAGTGGTTATTAGAGCTTTGGTCTGCGGTCCAGAGAGGCCCAGGTTCGGTTCCCGCTAAGGGCACGTACCTCAGTTGCAGTTTGTCCCCGGCCCTGGTTGGGTCATGCATACAGGAGGCAGCCACTCGATGTGCCCCTTTCACGTCGATGTTTCTCTCTCTCTCTCTCTCGTCCTCTCTCTCTCTCCCTCTATCTGAACAAAAAATGGAAGACTGTCCTTGGGTGGGGATTAAAAAAAATTTTTTTAAAAACAACAACAAACTTTAAAAAGTAAAACTGTTGGAAATACAGCACAAAGAACTGTTTTCTCTGAGCTACCTGAGAGTAAGTTGCTTACCTGATGCCCTATACCTTGAAGATTTCAGTGTGTATTTCCTGCAAAGATGTTCTTCATAATTGCAATGCAATCATCATCTACTGTCATCTACTAAGAGACCCCGTTGAAGTTTCTCCAGTTATTCCAATATCATCTTCTAGCAAAAGGATACAGTTCAAAATCATGCTTTTCATTCTATTACCGTGTGTCTTTAGTCTCCTTCATTTTGGAATAGTTTCTCAATCTTTCCTAGATATCTATGACTTTGGTTTTTTTATTTACTTGTTTATTTATTTTATCCTCACCCAAGCGTATTTTTCCATAGAATTTTAGATAGAGTGGAAGGGAGGGAGGGAGAAAAAGAGAGAAACACTGATGTGAGAGAGACACATCAATTGGATGCCTCCGCATGACCTTGACCAGGGCCAGGGATTGAACCTACAACCCAGGTATGTACCTTTAACCGGAATTGAACCCACAACCCTTGGGTACACAGGCTGATGCTCTAACTGCTGAGCCAAACCTGCCAGGGCTGATTTTTTATTTTTATTTTTTATCCTCACCCGAGAACAGTTTTGCATTTATCTTCAGAAAGAGCAGGAGGGAGAGAGGGAGGAAGAGAGACAGAGAAACATGGATGTAAGAGAGACACATTGACTGGTTGCCACCCACACAGCCCCAGTTGGTACTGGGGACAAACTGCAACTGAGGTACGAGCCCTTAGCAGAAACTGAACCTGAGACTCTCCAGTCTGTGGGCCAACACTAACCGCTGAGCCAAACTGGCCAGGGCCAGGGCTAATTTTTAAATATTAAAGGCCAATGATTGCATAAAATGTCCCTCAATTTGAGTTTCTCCAATGTTTCCTCATGACTAAATGCAGATAATGAAATTTGGCAGGAATATCACAGAAGTGACAATGTGTTCTTCTCATCCCTTCCTATAAATTGGCACATGTTTCAATTTATTCCATTACTGATGATGCTCATTTAAATTACTTCATTACGTGGTATCTGTGGGGCTTATTCTCTGTAAGTTACTTTCTCCCCTCTTTGCAATTAATAAGTAGTTTATGGGGAGGTATTTTGAAACTATGTAACTGTTCCATTTCTCATCAAACTTTCAATGTATTCATTCATTTATTTATTTACATTAGTATAGACTCTTGGCTTCCTGTTTTATTCAATGGTTTATAATCCCTTACTATCATTAATTTGATGCTCTACTGTCCCTGATTTGGCAAGTGGCTGTCCATTCAAGCTGGCTTCTGTCTCCACTTTGTTCTTTGATCACTTTCCTGCTTTCTGGAACATACCTCCAAGGAGCCCGATTTCCTTTAGTGAAAAGTGGAATTCAGAAGCCAAGGTTGTGCACTAGGTGTGTGCATTGCTATTGGAGTATGGCTGTTCCCAGGTCTTCTCAGTGGACAGATTTAGGGAATATGTGTAAATATAATAATGTGTGTACCTATACACACATTACATTTAAATTTACTTTTATCTATCTATATATCTGCCTCTCTCTCTCTCTCTCTCTCTCTCTGTCTCTTTCTCTATATATATATGTGCATACACACACACACATATATATGTGCATACACACACACACATATATATACACACACACATATATATGGTAGGTTAATAATAAATAATGTAATAGTTGTTAAATAAATAATAACACAAGAATAAACTGCTTCATGGACTCACAATTGAAAACCTACTTTTGCCCACCCCTGTATGTATGACCATGGGTCCATACCAGTGTACAAAATCCAGTCCGATGCCACCACAGGGTTTATTCTAATTGTCTCCCATTCCATATTTATAGTTCTCTGACAGTGAGAAAGCTGGCTTCCTTTTTCATTAGTATATTTACATATTTAATCCGCTCTCCTTCTATGAACCCATCTCCCATCTCCAACCCTATCCTTTCCCTTTGCAAGTTGCTCTCCTCTCCATCCATGGGCTCTGACCCCTGATTCCAGGCTACTTCCACATGGATCCCCTCCTCGCTGGTTTGGGCTCTGACTCCCTACACCAGGCCACTTAACTGTAAGAATGTCCTCCTTATCCCACTCAGGTCTCACTCCCCATCTGGATTATCCTTCCTCCAAAACTAATGGGAAAAGCACTGGACAAGGAGATGCAGCCCAGGTTCTCTTTATTTCTGACACTGACTAGCCATGTCAATGCCCTCTACCATTTTTTTCTCCATCTTAATAATCTTAGTTAAGAGTCATTTGCTCCTTTAAATTTGAAAGAACCTCAGCCTAAAGCTCTTATTTTATAGACAGAACCCAGATGAAAGATGTGACTTGCCATGAACCAGGTTCATGAGCCTAGGCCTCTTGCTTCTAACCTAGAATTTTCCCACTTTAGTTCTCCATGTTAGATTGAGCTTCAGTCAAGCAAAGTTACTTGCTTCCTCTTGTAGACTACTTCTTCTTCATCTCCCCTCCTTTAAATCAGTGGCAGATGATTACAACTAGAATGAAGCAATGCTTACATATGAACTAGGCCTGGGAGGAAGGACAAAGAACAGAAGGTTGACTTATGAGTGGTTTGTGTCCTGACTTCTCGACCCTTTCTTGGTGCCATTTCTGCTGCAGCATCCATCACACAAAATGCTTCACCCAGAGGGTGCCTCCTGCTCTGCAGAGGCTGTCAGTGGTTTTTCTGTTCAGTTCTGACAAGCTCCTTGGAAGCAAACAGGTAGGCATACAGCTGTTATGTATTTCTACAGCTAAACAAAAAGTCTTAAGTGTCAACAATATAAGAATATTAGAAATAATGTGACTTTGGCTTAGTAACCATATGTTGTCCATTCTAGCTCCTACGTGTCTCTTTATGTCTGTTTCACCTTCATTCGCTGTCTTAGCTCAGGCTCTTATCCGTGCTTGCCTGAACTATTTCAGAAGTCTTCTAGTGAGCCTTCCACTCTTCTTCCTCCTCTCCGGTCCCTCCTCCACACTGGCTCCAGAAAGCCTTCTAAATCTAAATCCAATTCTCTCTTCCTTTCTGAAAACCCTCTAATTTTTATCCACATGCCTCAAGCTCTTTGATGCAATTTACTAATCTCTCCATGATCTGTCCTCTGCCCACCTCTAACCTAATTTCCTGCCATTCTACCCTTACATTTTGTGCTCCAGCATCACAGACCAATATGTAACTCTTCAAATATGGCATACTATTTCATACCTCTATACCTTTGCATATGTGTTACCTCTGCCTAGGATGTTCTCTCCCTCATCTACCTGGAACACTTCTATTCATTCTCAAAACTCAGCTCTGACCTTCCTGATTGCCTTAGTTTGGCTGCCATAAAAAACACCACAGCCTGGGTGGTTTAAATAACGAGCATTTATTTCTCACAGTTTCAGAGGCTAAAATTCCAAGATCAAGGTACCAGCAGATTGGTGTCTGGTGAGGGCCTGTTTCCTGGCTTCTAGACAACCACCTTTTTGCTGTATCTTCACATGGCTGAGAGAGAGATCATCTCTCTTGTGTCTCTTCTTATAAAGGCACTAGTAAGGGCTCCATTTACATGGCCCAGTTACCTCCCAAAGGCTCTACCTCCAAATACCATCACTTCGGGGATTAGGGCCTCAACGTATGGATTTTGGGGGACACAACAGTCAGTCCAAAGCACTGAACATGCCTCTCCCCACTCCCTTGTTTTGGTCCATCCCACCCATAGAATGAAACACTTCTCACTCTGTGCCACTTCCAAACCATATGATGTTGCTCTTCTTGCACTTACACTATTTTATATAGGTATTTGTTTTCATGTCACCCATTCACTCCCAACCCAACTATGAACTTTTTCAAAGGTAATGGTTTTGTTTCATCTTTGAATCCCCATCATTTAACATAAGCCCTGGTACTTAAATTGATTATATATAATTCACATACCATAAAATCCACTCTTTCAAAGTATAATTCAGGGATTTTAGTATATTAGATTGTGCAACCATCACTATATTTAATTCCAGAACATTTTAATCAAGCAGAAATGGAACCCCATACCCATGTTAACAGTCATACCCCATTTTCCCATACTCACATTTCCTGGCCACCACTAATACACCTCTGTCTCCATGGAATGGCCTATTCTGGACATTTCATATAAATGGACTCATATAATATGTCTGTAGCCTTTTTTTTTTTTGAATTACAAAGCTACTTTTAATACTTTGGGGTGAGCCCCACAGGAATAAAAAAAACACTGGGAAGGGGTAACCCCCTCACCCCCAGGAGTGGCCCAGGGGGAGAAAGGCTACCCGAGGGGAAGGTAGCACACAAGGGACCCGCTGCAGACTCGGGGCAAAGGGAATACCCTCGGTGCTGGGACCTGCGAGCGCTACAGGAGGAAACGCGAGCTTGGGGGACTGGCTCCAGGCACACAAGCGAAGGGCAAGAGGGTTGGACACGAAACCACAAAGCTACTTGGGTTCCTCCTTCTTCTCGTTTGCTTTTTTCTCTTCTGCTCCATGACCTCCGAGTCCCTCTGCTTGTGGGCGACAGCAGAAAGCCCGTCATCTTGGCCCTTGCCTTTAACCGAGTCGCTCTGCTTTTTCATATTCTGGCCGGCGAGCTCGCGGTGGTTACTGCGGGTCATGGCGATGGCAGCGGCTCCAGCCTGCCTCTGTTGCGTCCCTTTGTTCACTCTGACGTTGTAGCCTTTTGTGTCTGGCTTCTTTCATTTAACATAATGTTTTCAAGGTTCATCCACATTGTAGCATGTGTCAGTACTTCATTCCTCTCCATGACTGAATAATATTCCACTCATGGATATGGATAGACCACATCTTGCATATCTACTCATCACCTGATGAACATTCACATTGTTTCCATTCTTTTGGTTATTATTATTAGGCCGCTATGAACCTTCGTGTACAAATTTTTACATGTCAATAAATGTCTGAGTTAAGGAATAAATGAGTGAATGCATGATGACATATTGTATTATGTGTTTTCTGGCCAGGATATTAATTATAACCTTCTTTCCTTCTTTTGGACAGGTCTGGGCCATATTGTCCAGGCTGAGGAATACCTATCCCAAGCCCAGTGGACAGTCCTCAAATCAACTGAATGTTCTTATGCCACCCACTCTTTACTGCACCGGAACCTGGGACTTCTCTTTATGGCTAAGGAAAACTATGAGGAAGCCCGTTATCATCTGGCCAATGACGTAAACAATCTAAATTATAACACCTGAATATTTCTGAGACCAGTTCTGTTCAGTTTGTTTTTGTTTTTGTTTTTTAACTGAGCATTTCTCTATAACTTTTTTGGTCTACAACTAACTATGATGAGGTATTAGCAAGAACACAATTTTAACCACCTGAGTTCAAGCCTTCTGACTTCTTGGCTGTGCAACTTTGGCCAGGGCACATCAATTCTCCAGGCCTCAGTTGCTCTGAGAATAATAAAGGGAGGCAGAGCAGTGTACTGGTTAAGAGAAGGGCTTTACTTCTAGTCCCAGCTCTGTAGTTCACCAGCTACTTAGTCCTGGACAAATTGTTTAACCTCTTTTATCATCTGTAAGACAGAAATCATAAACGGTCTCTCCCTCATTGAGCCATTGCAGAGATAAATAATAGGACAATATATGTGCAGCACTTTGGCTATTATTTTTATTATAATAGAGTGCGGTTAAGTTTCAATGAGCTGGTGGTATTTGAAAGTGCTTTACAAACTACAAAACTCTGTGCAAATGTTACGTAGGTTCATGAGGGTGATGATTGAGCAGTTCTAGAATTTCTGAGGTTTCTATTAGGATTTCAGTATTGGACAATATTACCAGAGGGGTTCCTGAGCCTGAAATCTGGGTGAGGTTAGGGTCAGACTGCAGTCTTCAAGTGTGTTGGTTTACTCTTCAGCCTCTCCACTGGGCAACCCTTCCTCTGGTTGGCTGCTGCTGCACAATGCCCATAGATCCAATGGAAACATTCTTGTGCTGATTAGTCCCCATATCCTCTCACCCCAAATTCATTCTCTGCCCTGGGAAGGTGACCTCTATGGAATACACAGCTCGGACTCTATTGCCCTGGCTTGGGTTTGGAGAGAGAGAGGTGTGTGAGGGGTTGGAGGTTGGGAGGAGAGAGAGGCAGGGACATTGTTCCTCTGTGGTCATGACTCCTGTCGGGTAGCCTTCTTCCATGGCTCGAGCTCTTACTGGGCCCTGGTAACTCTGCTCCACTTGCTTTTTCAGGAGTCAGGATGGTAGTACTTTCTTGCTGTGATGATCCCCAGTGCTTCTCTAGCTCGTGTTGGTTCCTCAGCCCTTCTGCACCTCTGTAAAGAATTCTTTTCATTAAACTGTCTTCAGGAAATAGTTTTGAGGGTGCCTATGAGCCTGACTGATGCACTTCTTCATCTGTGCTTCTCTATACAGAGAGACTCTACACCCTCTGACAAATTAAGCAGAAGCTTATTCTGTCTTGGGCTGGGCCACACTATTAAGAATTAGATCAAGCTCAGATTCCTCAGTCTAGCTTTAAAAACAAACAAACGAAAGAAAACAAAAAAACAACCACAGCTTTATTGCTACATACCATAAAATTTACCCACTTTAAGTGTAAAATTCAATGATTTTTAGTAAGTTTACAGAGTTGTGCAGCCATTAGCACAATCTAATTTTAGAACATTTTAGCACTCCAAAGAGGTCCCTCATATCCATTTTCTGTCACTTATCATTCTCACCTCTGTCACCCAGACAGGGACCGGCCTGAAGTGGGTCTGCCTCAGGCTGGCCTGTAGTGTGTGGGTTCTTGACTTTGTGCAGGAAAGATTTCACAATACAAGTCCAGGTACATTTGTTAAAGCTGGGACAACGAAACAAAGGAAAGACTTAGGATAGAAGAAGCAACAGGAGAGAGCCTAGGCAGGGCTGCTTTGGCTCACTGAGAAATAAAAGTCACTGAGAAAAGTGAGCCAAGGCAGGACTGCTGTTAGCTCACTGGACAGTCTGAGAAAAAGAGGGCCTTGGAGACAGGATCAGGGGACAAGCCCAGGACAAGCCGCCATTGCCTATTGCTCCCCTGGTTGCAAGCCTTGTGGGGACCCTTAGAGTTTAGGAGGAAGGAAAAAAGTTCATGCCTGAGAAGGGGCATGGGTGTGCTCTTGAGAGAGCCCATGCTGGGTCTTGGTCCTGAAGGTTTTTATTTTTCTTCTGTGGGCCAGAATCCTAGAGGAGGGTTTCAGCAGAATACTCAGCAGCTTTCCAAGTGCATTTGTAATATGCTGATGCATCAAAATGAGTGTATGAGGGAGTATGGGATTATTCTTTGGTCTGCTTTACTGTTTTAGTTTTTTCTTGGGTCTGTCTGGCTTTAATGGGGTTTTTGTTATTTGTTCCCCTGACTTCATCTGCCCTCGGGTTTGGCTGGCACAAATGGCATTAATTGGGTCTCTGTCCTCTATCTCCCCAACCAGGGTGATTTAAGCTATGTGTTCTCTGGTTAGGGAGGAGAGGTATACACCATTTGCTCTCAAGTGTCAGTGGTTAGGGAAGACAAGGTCTTGGTATTTACTAGTTGGCTGTAAGCTGTTCAAATTGTTTGATCTTGTTTAATTATCTTGTTTCAGTTTCCCCATTCCACTTGCCCAGGAATTTTCTTAGTTGCTTACTGTCCTGCCTCACCCCCAGTCCCAGGCAACCACTTTTAGTTTCTCTAGATTTGTCTTTTCTGAACATTTGATATAAACAGAATGATATGTGGGGTTTTTTTTCCACATCTGACTTCTTTCACTTGGTATAATTTGCAATTCATCCAGGTTGTTGTGTGTATAAGTATTTCACTCCTTTTATTGCTGAGTAGTAGTCCATCACCTGAATATACCACAGTTTGTTTAGCCATTCATCACTTGAGGGACATTTGGGTTGTTTCAACTTTTTGGCTTTGTGTGGACTCATGTTTTCGTTTTCTTGGGCATATACCTAAGAATGGAATTGCTGGGTCATGTAGCAACTATATGTTTAACTTTGAGAACTGCCAAACTGTTTTCCACAGAGGCTACATCATTTTATGGTCACACCAGCAATGTACAAGGGTTCCATTTGCTCCACACCCTTGACAATATTTGTATTCTACCTTTTGGATTAGAGACATTCTGTGTGTGAGAAGTGGTATCTCATTGTGGGGTTTTTTTGTTTGTTTGTTTGTTTGTTTTTTGCATTTTCTTAATGACTAAAAATACTGAGCATCATTTCTTGTGCTTATTAGCCATGAGTATAATATGTTCTTAGAGACATGTCTTTTCAGATCCTTTGCCCATTTTTAACTGGCCTGTTGTAAAAGTTTTTATATATCCTGGACGTGAGTCTTTTGTTCAGATACATGATTTGCAAAGAGAATGCAAACACCTTCTTTTTCTACTATAGATTTACTTTGCCAGTTGTGCATTCGGAACAGAGGACATCAGGACCTCAGGAGGCTACTTCCACCTAGCTAATATCTTCTATGGCCTTAATAAGTTGGACCTGGCAGACACGCTGTACACTAAGGTGAGCTAGGGAATATGGGAGCTGAGCCTTAGACCTTATGTCTTATAACTGGTGTCGGATCATTCATGAGAAATTTGAAGCACAGAGAGATAAAGTAACTTGCCCAAGTTTATGTAGACTGCTATATTATGTATTTCAATCTTTTTTTTTTTTTTTAAATCCTCACCGGAGGACACTTTCGCATCTATCTTCAGATAGAGCTGGAGGGAGAGAGGGAGGAAGAGAGAAAGAGAAACATTGATGTGAGAGAGACACATCGAGTGGTTGCCACCCACACGACCCCAACCGGGGCCGGGGACAAACCGCAACCGAGGTACGTGCCCTTAGCGGGAACCGAACCTGGGACTCTGGTTCGTGGGCCGACGCTCTAACCGCTGAGCCAAACTGGCCAGGGCATATTTCAGTCTTTTCTTCCTGTTTCTCCACTACCAAAATAGATCAGTCCTTAGAGTCCATAGGACGATTAATAAATAATAAGTGACAGGTCAATAAGAACCAAACACCTCCAAATAGATTGCCATATTCTCTGTTATACTGACAGGAACAAGATAACGTGGGTATATTGAGGTATGTGATAGAGAAGGAGATGATGTTTTTAAGGGAAAATTATTGCTAATAGGTCATACAAAGGAATAAAAAATATGAGCACACTTTGAAATTTCCATCTTTGCATGTGAAAGATTTTAAACTGTTTCTAATTTGTTAAAATGTTAGTTATGTTCATAGAGTAACACCTCACTTAGCAAGCGACCATTTCTGTGTATGATATAGGCTTTGGTGCTGTGACTGTTCCTATTTTAGGCCCACTTGTGAGGAAGAGGCATTGTGGTGTCGCTGAAAAGAAATGAGTCAGAGGCAGACAGACTTGAATTTAACTCCTGGCTGTGCCACAGAGCAGATCTTACCAAATGTCAGGTGTGCACTAATGTCTCTGAGCCTCTGTTTATCTCTCTGTAAAATGAGAATAATAAGACTATGACCTCATTTGATGTTTTGAGGATGTAAAGTTTAATTGTAGGTACTAAACAAATGGTAGCCATTGTTATCAGACTCCACCAGGGCTGTCCCCAGATCAGCCACATGCCCATTCAGCCCAACACATCTCACACTCACTTTGGCCAGGCCTGTTTGGGCCCCTGAGGCTCCCCCTGCCTCCAGGCACAGTGAGAGAGGGAGCCTGCAGAGGGCCAGGGAACCTGGCCAGAGATGCTGCCCTCCTAGCTGGCTGGTCCAGTGGCTAAGACCTGGCCTGCCTGTCTGATTGCATTTTCTTTCCCAACAGGTCTCTGAGATCTGGGATAAATATCTGAACAATCACTATCAAGTCCTCTTACAGGCTCGCATCCAGCAAATAGATTTACTGGGCAAACAATTTGAGACTGACACTGGCTTGGGTAAGTGGCAGTCCTCTGTCGGAAGCAGAGTAGCGACTTCCTCTCAGTCCACAGGCCTTGTCCGGAAAAGAGGGGGGGCTTCTGAGCCTGTTGTGGAGCACACACCCTCTCCCGCGTCTTGATTATGGGGAAACCGAGACGGGTGCAAAGGGATTTTACCAGAATTCACAGTCCTAGCTCTACACACAGCCTTTCAGGGGACATACTTGGAGGGAAAAAGACCCTGCCGGAGCCCACTGTGATTTCTGCAGTGCACCCATTCCTTAATGTGTTATCCTTCCAGGGCGCATAAGCCAAGGCAGACTCAACACAGATGTCGCATTACTCAACTGTCCGGGGCCTTAACCTCTTCCTTTACTGAACAGCAGGCTTCTTTGTGGCAGCGCGGAGTCTGGTTCATCTCACCATCCCCGGGCTCCGCAAGGGCTGCGTGTCGGGTAGCCCTGAACGGTATCGTTCCCTCTGAGGTAACAGAGACAGAGGATCCAGTTGGTGCTTAAAAAGTCATACAGTGCAGCTGGTGAGACAGAGCCCATTTGAAATACCAAAAGCGAATTTCTGTGAGTGCAAATGATATTATAAGCCAAGCCCCAGAACAAAGAGCTGAGATGGTGTTGAAGGCAGAAGACTTCTTACAGGAGAGGTTTTAAAAAAACCTTGAGTTGCCCTGGCCAGTTTGGCTCAGCGGTTAGAGCGTCGGCCTGCGGTCCGGAGAGACCTGGGTTCGGTTCCCGCTAAGGGCGTGTACCTCGGTTGCAGTTTGTCCCCGGACCTGGTTGGTCGTGTGGGTGGCAGCCGCTCGGTGTGTCCCTTTCACGTCGATGTTTCTCTCTCTCTCTCTCTTCCTCTCTCTCCCTCCCACTCTACCTGAACAAAAAATGGAAAAATGTCCTCGGGTGAGGATAAAAAAAAACCAAAAAAAAAAAAACCAAAACCTTGAGTTAAGGTTTAAAAAATTAGTAATTTTAGAAGGTCGTGAAAAAAGGACTTGGTGGGATAGCGCCATTTCTTCTTTCGGCTTCTGCGCCTTTCGCAGGGCTTCCAACAGCAAAATGTTGGGACAGAGCATCCGGAGGTTCACTACCTCTGTGGTCCGTAGGAGCCACTATGAGGAGGGCCCAGGGAAGAATGTGCCATTGTCAGTGGAGAACAAGTGGCGCTTACTAGCCATGATGACTTTGTACTTTGGATCTGGATTTGCTGCCCCTTTCTTTATAGTAAGACACCAACTGCTTAAAAAATGAGGATGTTTTAGTTAATCCATGAAACAGATATGAAGAGGAGCATTTTAAGAGGTGCAGTTGCTTTGAAAAATGGATCAAACTGTTTAACTCAACATACTAGATGTATTTGTAAATAAACTTATGGCATGAGTCCTTAATGCCTCTTCTCTGAAATACAAAAATGTCATAATTGAAAAAATAAATAAATAAATACAAAATTAGTAACTTTATTGAGCTTTCTCTTATGATAAGTGGTTCATGTTAAAGCAGAAAATGTGGAAATCATAGATATCCAGAGATGGCCAACTTTAACATTATGGTGTATAACTGCTCTCTGTTGCTCTAAGCTTAACACAGTGACTCCTCACTGTCTTTGACAGGCCCTTGGAAACTGGCGTTAGGCGAAATGATGTATAAGGAAACCAGTTTTACCACAGGCTAATTGATGTCCACAAGAGTTAAGTTCCTTCGGCATATTTCTGGTCATAAAAACATCACCAAACTCATAAATAAAGACCCCAAACACTTCTAATACTAAACTCTGAAATGAATGTGAGCTACATGTATGTTTAAGAAAGATTAATAAAAACAAGTAAGATAGCCCTGGCTAATTTGGCTCAGCGGTTAGAGGATTGGCCTACGGCCCAGAGAGACCCGAGTTCAGTCCCCACTAATAGCATGTACCTTGGTTGCAGTTTCTCCCTGGTTGGGTCGTGCGGGTGGCAGCCACTCAATGTGTCCCTTTCACATCTCTCTCTCTCTCTCTCTTCCTCCCTCCCTCCCTCCCACTCTATATGAACAAAAAACGGAAAAATGTCCTCAGGTGAGGATAAAAAATAAATAAATAAATAAAAATTAAAAAAACAACAACAGGCAAGTAAGATAATTCTTTTCCAACCTGATCATTCCAGTTCAAGGTCACAGGTGACTGGAGCCCACCCTGGCAGCACAGCACACAAGGTGGAGGTGGGCACCCACCCTGGACAGGACGGCCTTTCATTCCACGGCCACTTACACACACGCCCACACTCACTCAGACTGGGATGATTTAGACACAAGTCATCTACTGGGCACATCTGTGGGCTGTGGGAGGAAAACTGAGGACCAGGAGAAAACCCACACAGACGTGGGGAGGACATGCCAACTCCACACAGAGAGTGGCTCCTTTTGGGAATCGATTTTTCCCCCCCCTCATCAGTGTTAGAATGAAATGACGTTGAACAAAACAGTGTTATTCAGGACTTGCTATACTTAAAAAGTACTTTTAGGTACCTGGCCCATAACTCATAATAAGTCAATAAATGGTGACTAAAGGATAACCAAACACTGCTGGGGACATTGTGCACAGCCTCCTCAGGGAAAGCAGAAAGCCTCATTGGATTGGGGGAAGAAAAATTAAGATGCTGCAGCTGCAAGAAGCCCCCCTCTCCGCTCTTGCCGTAGAGTAGAAGCTGAGACTCAAAGGGAGAGAGCTTAGCAACACGGGCTGAGCGTGTTTAAGTCACTCTGACATGCTGGGCATGGCTGGGAGCTGCCCGAAACTGCGCCGCGTCCTGCCCCGCGAGCCAGCAGTCCTCCAGGTGAGAACTTGCTGTGGTTTGCGCCACCTCCCCCGGTGTCCCCGCGAGGGAGCTTCAGGAGGCCAAGCGCCCCCACAGCTCAGTGCCTACCCCGAGGTGGGCTCAGCTGCCCCCAGGACCCGATTCTTCTTTTCCTCCTTTCCACTGCAGATGAAGCCCAGGAAGCGGAGGCCGTTCGGATCCTGACTTCAATCTTAAACATTCGAGAATCTACATCTGACAAAGCTCCCCAGAAAACTGTCTTTGTTCTGAAAATCCTGGTCATGCTTTACTACCTGATGATGAATTCTTCAAAGGCAAGTTTCCCTAGAAAAGCAGCATGTCTAAAATGGAGATAGAAATTCCTCAAGTTGAATCCAGCTGTGTACTGCCCAATTGCATTAGCTTCTGCCCTAAGAGTAAGCCCTTACTCCAGAAAAGTTCAGATGCTCATGACATGTTTCATTTGTTGAGTCCAGCCTTCATACTGGAAACTGGATTCCCTTCTCCCCTCCAGAGGACCTTCCCAGGGTTGCGTAGGTAAACTGAGGTTGGGGCAGTGCTAGGAAGCCTGCAGGGCAGAGGGGCTCTGGAGAGTCCTTGCAGGAATGGAATAGTAGTTTTAACCATGCTCAGTTCGTGAGTTCCCACAGGATGGAGTTTACTTGTGGCCCCTATCATCTCTCTGCCTCCCAATGTTGGTTCAAAGGGCCCTAATTAAGATCCCACAAAGATCTCACTTTGCTTAGTTTGTCAAGCCAGGTGGCTTTTTCTGGTGCCCCTTTTCCCACCCAGCACACGTGTGGCTAGCTCTAGGGACCCAGTGTGCATTCACAGGTTTCCAACAAGAGCTCAGTGCCTGGTGTGAGAAGCTGAGGGGCCCTTTCCCATATTTCTGGGATTGAACACAGATGGGGCTTCCCAATGTAATGCTTCCCGGTGACAACTTCCTTTTGTCACTGCAATTCTATTCCAGGCACAAGAATATGCCACGAGAGCCTTCAGTCTAGCTCAAGAACATCAGCTCAGTGTCCATGAACAAGACACCATTCAAGAATTACTAACTCTCATCTCAGCTGAAGAAGCTTCCCCCGTTACTCAGTGACCCGTGGGTTCGGCGTCAGGGCCTCTTCAAGGGACTGCTGAACATGTAATGTGTTCCAGCCTTCAGCAACTGCTCTGAGGTTATGGATGAACTGCTGAAGTCCCACCTCTTCCCCTGTGATTTCACACCCCGTGCACTTTTATTCTTGCACGGCATATGTGAGGGAGTATAGAGCTTTGGGCACAGAAATCAGTAAAACTCGTTTATCGTGACCCTTGCCCTTGGTTTATCATGACTTTGTATGAATTTGAGGTAATATACTGTCAGCTCACTAATATGGTATTTGTAATTAAACTGAAAATAGTTTATCGTATTTCCCAGAAGTCTCCCAGCAATGCTTGTTCCATAGGTCTTTACCCAAAAAAGGGGGGTAGGGAACAAGCTATATTGGAGCAGTTTCCCTATTTTACTGGAATTAAGTTAGCATTAATCTGAGGTAGTTTGTGATTAAAATGTCCATTATAATTCCTAGAGCAATCACTAAAAAAATTACCCTAAAAATAGTTAAGATCAACAAAGGAATTTAAAATATACTAGAAAATATCCACTTACTGCAAAAGAAGACAATGGAGGAGAAATGGAGGGACAAATAGGACATGAGATATATAGAAAACAGGTAGCAAAATGCAGACACAAACCATAGGTCTTTGCCAGAGAAGGCCCCTGGGCGGCGCAAGGAGCCCAGTACAGACTGGCTGAGACACCATTCCAGGTTGGTGTCTTTCTCTTCCTAGACAATGATTTGAAGTAGACGTGAACCATCTATACTGTCTAGGGGAGACGTACTCTTAAAGGCCCCCTGTGATGTAGAGGACAGAGGGCAGGCCTTGGACTCTGATGTGCCTGGGTTCAAATGCCAGCTGTCTCATTTAATACTTTGTGACCTTGATCTCCTTCATAGCCTCATTCATTATTGCGATAAAATGGCCTAGATGTGGCCATGGCTGTATTAGCTTGTCCCCTGGATGACTGTTGTCACTTAGCATATCTTTTTTTTTTAGCTCCAAACTTGTCAAAGAGCCTGCCCATTAGCACACTTTGCTTCCTGGGTAGATTTGCACCCAGAAAGAGGATATGCAAGTCAAGGACCTGTCAGAGAATTTTATGTTCCTCACCGTAAATTAATTCATTCAGGTACATAATAAAAATAGGTCAGGTAGGCCGTCCTATCCCTTCAGGTCTAGGGAGAATCTGCTGGGAATCCCATTCCATAACTTTGGGAATTATGTTTCTCCAACACGCCTGTGAAGTCCCAGGGCCTGACTTTTCTACCAGCCTCTCACTCTGTCAGCTTCAGTTGCATTCTCACTCTTCACTGCTCATCTTGTGGTGGTTTTTTTCATCTCTTTAGGGACACCAACCCTTCTTCTTGATTCTCACCCTCTAACCTCAAATATGAGTTAGCTCTCTTTTTAAAAAACAGTTTTTTAATTGATTTTTGAGATAGAGAGGAAGGGAGGGGGGAGAGAGAGAGAAACATTGACTGGCTGCCTCCTGCACACCTCACACTTGGGACGGAGCCTGCAACCTGGGCATGTGCCCTGACTGGGGATTGAACTGTGACCTCTCAGTGCACTCAGTCCACTGAGCCACACCAGCTGAGGAGTTAGCTCTTTAAAATAGATGTTTAGTGAAGATTTGGAAGGGGTAATGAGGAATAGGGTCAACAACTCTTAGCAGATAAATTAAAAGAAAATATCAGAACGTCCCTATTCTAAAATGTCCTTTAAAGTCCCTTTCATTAAACTCTAGTTCTCTCCTTTACTATATCCATTGCCCTTTCTATTTCACCCCTCCATTATCTATTCTGTTTTCTCTACTGTTGAATTCTTGTTCATGAATCCTTCCCCACTGAGTAAATTTTAAAAATTATTGATTAAATTAGGTTGTTTAAATTTATTATTCCTATTCTCTGATTTTTCTCTTCATTATGTCTTATTAATTTAGTTTTCAGTTATTCTGCTTTCCTAACACTTGCATACAGGCTATAAATTCTCCTCTAAATACTGCTTTAGTTGATCTGCATATTTTAACTTCAGTATTTTAACTGTCATTTTGTTCTAAATATGTCTTAACTTTTTACTTACTCATAGTTTAGAAGTATAATTTTAATTTTTAAAAGAAGGTAACTTCTTTGTTGATTTCTAGCTTAATTTTATTGAGGTCATAAAATATGCTGTGTACAATTTTGACTTTTAGGAATTAGTTGAGATTTGCTTTATGGCTGAGGTCAATATTTGTAAATGATCTGTGTGGACTAGAAAAGAATGGAGTTATTGGGCACTATGTACTGTATATTGTCAAATCTTGCATATCCTTGCTGAGTTTTTGGTTTAAATCTGAGAGGGCATATAAAATTCGTCCTATGATTATGGATGCATCTATTTCTTCTAGTTCTGTCATTTTTGCTTTATATATTTTGAGGCTTTGTTATTAGGCAAGCACACATTCAGATATTGTATTTTACTAATTAAATATAAAGAATTAAATCCTTATATTTTATATTATGAAGTGCTTCTCTTTATCTTGGTAATGCTTTTGACTGTAGAATCTATTTTGGTTTTATAGTAACATATAGCTACGCCTATTTTCTTTGGTTTGGATTACTTCATCAGCAAGGCATCATCACTTACTTCTGCTTCAGCATTTACCTCTGCTTCAAGGGGGAATCTAGGAACTACAGTTTCTCTTTCCTTTTATGACTCTGGATGAATTTCAGCCAATGAGGGGCAGCTTTACCCAAGATATGGAAACTGGATGAGGAGCAGCCATTGATCTTCCTGAGAATCACCCACTGTTGCTTTCTTGAAAGCAGGTTTCCTGTGAAAGCAGCTTGCTGACCTTTGCTCCCTGATCTTTGTCACACAGCCCGATCAAAGACTGTGTAAGCCTCTAATTCCCTGTAGTGAGTAAATCCCTTTACTCAACGTGCCTACAGAAGCTTCTGTTTTCCCAACTGAACCCTGACCAAACACCTCATATCTCTTCTTGCAGCCTTTTACTTTCAAATAATCTATGAACTGATGTTTTGGATGTATCTCTTGTAAAAATAATATAGTTAGATATTTTCATAGCTGTAATTTTTTATTTATTTTTTTTTTTTATCCTCACCCGAGGACATTTTTCCATTTTTTGTACAGACAGAGTGGGAGGGAGAGAGAGGGAGAAAGAGAGAGGGAAACATCGATGTGAAAGGGACACATCGAGTGGCTGCCACCCGCATGACCAACCAGGGCTGGGGACAAACTGCAACCGAGGTACGTGCCCTTAGCGGGAACCGAACCCGGGTCTCTCCGGACCGCAGGCGGACGCTCTAACCGTTGAGCCAAACTGGCCAGGGCTCATAGCTGTAATTTTTAAAGAATCATTTAGTCCATTTATATTTTATTTATATGCTGAATTTTGGGGTTTAAATTTATGATCTTATTTTGGCCTTCTATTTGTCCTGGATGTTCTGTTTTCCCCTTTTATTTCTTTTGGATCAATTACATATTTTTTCTCATTTTATTTCTCCTGTCTGCTAGTTTGTAACATATATAGTGTGTTTTTATTATTTTAGTAATTACCCCAGAAATTAAATGATCAAAGTCTGAAGTTATTCAGGAAATTTATCCTCATCCTGGACATACAAGGTGTTAAAACTTCTCCTTTTTTTTTTCAAGGTGTTAAAACTTCTTAACTCCATTTACTTCCTCCTAACATATATTATTACTATTATTTATTTCAAATATATCTTAAACCCACAAGTCATGATTATTATTTTATAAAGTAGCCATATTTGTTCTTGCTTTTCACACCTTCTAGCTGGGCTTATATTACTAATAAATCCTTTAGTATTTATACACTGAGGGTTTACTGATGGCAAATTCTCAGAATGCAGGTGAAGTGTCCCATTATTCACAATGGCTCTATGAAGTGCGACATCTCTCAAGAACATTAGGTCACAAAAAACAAATGTTTAGCAAAGTAAATGCTTCCAGAAAGACAATGAAGCATCACTTAAATGACAGGCCATGTCATCATTTTGTTTGATAGAAAAAGTTTGTCTTTCCTGATATTTATCAAAATTGATGACATTGTGCCCTGGCCAATGTGGCTCAGTTAGTTGGGCATCATCCCATGCACTGAAAGGTTGCTGGTTTGGTTCCTAGTCAGGGCACATGCCCGGGTTGCAAGCTCGTTCCCCAGTCGGGGGCATGCAGGAGGCAGCTGACTGATGTTTTGCCCTCACATTGATGTTTCTCTCCCTCTCCCTTCCTCTTGCTCTAAAAATCAATTTTAAAAAATTGATGACAATCTGATGGAGATAAATATTTCATATATACACACACATACACACAGTTTCAGTAGTTAATAAATACTTAAACAGCAGCAAATTTTCAAAGCATATAAACAAGTTTACTATTGAGACCAGGATATAAAACCAAGATAATATATTATAAATATTGTCCTTTGTTTGCAAAAACCTTTGTAAGGGCTGTGGATATTCCAGAACATGTTAATGAACAAAGAAAGTTTTCCATGAAAAATGATCACTAATAGTTTGAAAGTCAAGTTTCACCACAGAAACGGAATTAGATGCAGGGGATGAGGAAGGTTGCAGGCAAAAAGGACTACTAGAATTTTTCCTTTTTCTGGTTTGAGCACACGATCAGCACTGAGCACTGAGGTGAGGGGGCTCTGGGAGAGGGGTGGGCTTGTGGGAGAGAGGTAAGAATCTGAATTCAGATTGGGGCATGAGAGTTTGAGATATTCATTGGAGAAGAGATGAAAAGGTAGGCAACTGGACATGCAATCTGACATTAAGAAAAGAAGCTTGGGTTTGAAAGATTAATTTGAGAGTATCATGTAGATGGTAATTAACACCATGGAAAGAGAGAAGATTGCCTAGGGAAGAGAAGAGAGCCTACGGGAATGCCTTGAAACGGAATGTCTAATGGAGAAGAGGCGAACCCAGCAGAAGAAGCTGACATAATTTCAGATTTACTCAGACTCTCCATACAAAGAATTCCCATATCCCTCTCACCCAGATTCCCCAAATGTTAACATTTTACTACATTTGTGTTATCGTTTTCTCTCCATGGATCATCCATTCATACGAACCATTTGAAAGTAAGTTGCAGGTGTTTCACCCTTTTATTCCTCCATATTTAATATGTATTTTCTAAAAACAAGGATACCCTCTTACATATTCTTATAATCATGAAAGTCAGGAAATTAACATTGATATGATACTATCAGAAAATAATATACAGACCTTATTCAGGTTTTACCAATTATCTTAATAATGTTCTTTCTAGCAAAGGAAAG